CCAAATGGTGTTTTAAGTTGTAATGGTGAGGGACTTTAGATATATGAGGATGTCTGTACAGGCTGGTTTGGTTAACTGGAAAACTAATATTTTTCCACTTTGTTTCTTGATTGAGCTTCTTGGTTGTTATTGTTTAACATTTGTTTTCTGCTTTGTTAAAACTGTGAGTTTTCGCTGCTGATTTTTTGTGTAATCTATATGAGATGAATTTGGGGTCTTTTCGGTTTGGTGTTACTTTTTTTCTTTTTTTCCTTCTTTTTTTTTTTCTCAACGGTTTGGTGTTACTGTGTGTGGAAAACAAGACAAATTTTGAGATGTGAAAGGATATGAAATAAAAAGTATAATAATTATTGTTGATTTATATAAAATAATAAAATGTTAATTGATAAGATTGGTAGTTAGAATATGTATGGGTAGATCGATATTATTTTTTAACGGAAGTATATATTAATTATTGCTTTCTATCTTTTAATTGTGTTAGTTGATAAGGGGGTGATTTTTTAACGGTCAGTCTCACTGATGGCCAGACAGCTTCCACCCCTTTTGATTATGATTCTACATTATATCTCGAGCTTGTTGGGAGTTTGATTTATATGATTTGCTCGACTTGATATAGCTCATGCCAGTTGCTCATATTGTGAGTCAGTTTATGGCTGCTTCGAGAAAGATGCATCATCATGCTGTGTTGCACATCCTTCGCTATGTGAAGGACACTCTATTGGATGATTACACTTCTCGGCTCGTTCTTCATTGACTCTTGGTGGTTATTTTAATGCAGATTGGGCAAAAGATCCTACTGACTGTCACTCCATTATTGGGCACAACTTTTTTCTGGGTGATTCACTCCTCTCCTAGCGCAGTAAGAAACAAATCTTAGTTTCCAAATCGAGTGTTGAGTCTGAGTATCGTGCTCTTGCTGAGTCCACCTCAGAGCTATTATGGCTACGTCGGTTACTTGTTGATCTCGGCGCACCAAACATATTGAGATTAATTGTCACTTTATTCGACAAATGTTGCACATGGGATTGTGAAGCTTGTTTCGATCTCCTCTACGTAGCGAAAGTATTCAGCAAGGCTTTCCATCACGGTCGCTTTTGTTTTACTTCTTAGCAAACTCAAGTTGATATCTACCATATTACCTTACATAAAAAAGGAAAAGTTCACCTGGGTCTTACCTTGGATGTCTGCAGTAAGAGCCTTTTTTTTTTGTAGCTGTGTTTTCAAAATTTGTTTACCCATCAACCTCACCTTACAAATCTTTCTTCACTTACAATCAATCTCCCTGGATTTTTCGCACTCCAGCTCGTGTAAATCCACAAGAACATATTGTAATCCTGTATCAAGATTTAGAGAGAGAGAAAGAAAAANAGAGAGAGAGAGAGAGAGAGAGAGAGAGAGAGAGAGAGAGAGAGAGAAAAATCTTAATCTTTTAGCCTAAAAATAGCACCCAATAAATAAAGAAGGGAAATTAAAAGCCACCGAAAACAGAAAAGAAAAGGGGCAAAAGGGAATGGGTAACTCATTTGGATGTTCCGCTTCAGGGGAGAGATTGGTATCAGCTGCAAGAGATGGAGATTTTGTGGAGGCGAAGATGTTGTTGGACTGCAACCCGTGCCTTTCAAAGTACTCAACTTTTGGTGGTTTGAACTCATCCCTTCATTTTGCTGCTGCCAAAGGACACAATGAGGTAA